GATAATAAAATAAAAGTACCTTTTCTACTCTTTGAGTTTCCTAAGAAAAGTTGGCTTATAAAAGACATCTATAAAAAGTTGAGTTGTAAAAATTACTTTAAAAAATATTGCTTCATTAGAAGTGTTGGTGAGAAGAAAATGTTTTAAATTCACAACGAGTAACTTTTACTTTTTTCCACATGGAATTTCAGTATTATAAGTATCTTAAAATACAAAGAAATGTGCATGTGTGGGTATCTTTTAAATTTAAGCATTAAAATGTAAACCCAAATTTTCATAACTTATGTCTTGATGAAGATTAATTGTATTTTTTTCTAATCACCCAAAAACTTGTGTTAGCATGAAATATCTGCTTATTCATGTAACAAATATTGATTATTTTTTGGTGAGATAGGAAATCCACCCCATGCTCCCTCCCCCCAAAATCAGTTGTGTAGTGAGACATTGGTTTCAGCCCCATAGTATGTAAACATTTTTAATTAATTAATTTTAATATATTAAATTCCATTTATGGAAACAAATGTGATAGGGAAGGAGTAAACAAATGTTTTCTTTTTTTTCCTGAAATGGGCCAGGTAGTAAACACTTAGGACTGTCGACCACATGGTCTCCGTTACAACTGCTTAGTTCTCTTGCTCTGGGGCAAAAGCAGCCATATGTCAATGTGATATTTAAACAAGTGAGACTCATTGTATTCCAAAGGAAGCTCATTTTTGAAACAAGTCATACTTTGCATCTCTCTGCTATAAGAAAAATATCTATAATAGAAATTTGGGGTTATTTATTTTTAAGAGGTGTTCAAACAATTTAAAAATTGGTCCTGCTGGGGACCAGCAGTTGGTGTAATGGCTTTGTCACTAGACTCCCATGTAGTCGACTGCAGTTAGAGTTCCAGACCCAGTGGCTTAAAACTCACGCCGGGTGCGTGTGTGTGTGTGTGCCCAAGATCCCGAGAGGAGAGTGGAGGAGAATGGATTGTGGCGTGGCCATGCCCCCTGGGGGGTGATTTCTCGCTTTTTGTCTCTCTGTCTCTCTTTGTCTTTCTGGTGAGTGCACGCACCCTATAGCAAAAACCTCCCCCCCCCAAAATTGGTCCCACTGAAATTATTACTTCAAAAACCTTACTTCAGCTCGTAAATATGTTCCTCCAATGTTGCAGAATATCTGAAGTTTGGGGCATATAATTTTTATATGCATACTTTCTCTCTCTAGTTCTCTCTCTCTGTCTCTCTCAGGTGAGTGCACACACCCTCTGGCATTTTTTTTTTTAAAGAAAGGTACTACTTTGGTACAGTGTGGATATTATGTATTCATTACTTCAATTTTTCTTTCTGAGAATTTAGTAGAAACAGAGGCTTGGTTTCTACTCTACAAGCTTATAAATTCTACAGACACAAAACACTTGAAATCACCTAAAAAATAAACAACACGGGACAGAGTCCATCATAAGCAGCTATTAGGATCTAAAGTGAATGCATTATATATAGAAAACACTGTAGAGTCAACATCAACTTTGAAATTCTCTCCCAAACAGCATCATTTCCCCCTGTCTTTGAATAATGACCCTTTTGTTTTTAATTGGGCATCAGACCAAACTGTTGGCTCATGGGGCCATAGACGGTGTGGTGATTAAGGCACTGGACTCCCATATGGCTGACCATGGTTTAAGGCCGAAACCTGGTGGCTTGAAAATCATACAAAGTGTGTTTGCAAGCATGCCCAAAATCCTAAGGAGGAAGGGATTGTGGCATGACCCTCTCCCCTGAAGGGTGCTATGTCACTTTCCTCTCTGTGTCTCTGTCTGTCTCTCTCTCCAGCTAGCACTTGTGCCTTATAGCAAAAAGTCTAAAAAAAAAAAAGCTAGCTCACATTAAGGGTCTATACTATATCAGAAGCACAAAAGTATACACCTTTACTGACAGAACAGCACTGAACACAGATACTAATACTCTGAACTGTTAGTGTATCAGTCAGTTTTTGGTATAAAAACACTATGGAACAAACTCTCACAACTTGTTGGCTTGAAACAATAATTGTTTATTAATATCTCACTGTGGTATCAGCTGATCTAGGCAGGACTTGTCTAGAGGGTCCTGCGAGGCTCCGCTGAACTCAGTCATGCATCTCTGGCTAACTGAGGAGCAGGGGAAGGAGCTGATCCAGACTAGCCCAGGTGAGGATGACTCTGATCCACATTTCTCTCATATTCCATCTGGACCAGCAAGTTACCCCAAGCAAGTCATTCTCATAGAGAAGGCAGAGTGAGAGCTAGAGCAAGTCTATTCACGCAAGTGTCTTTTGAGACTCTGCTTTTACTAGATGTGTTGCTAGTCCATTGGTTAAATTGAGTCACATGGCTGAGTCCACTTTGCCCTCTTGGAAAAGACTAAAAATTCATGGTAAAGGACTTGGATACAAAAAGGAGCAAATAAAGCCATTAATGCAACTTACTACAGTGGGTATACTTGAACTTGTTCAATTAAATGTGGACATGAAAAATTCTATTAATTCTTTCAGGTTACTAGGACACACTAAAGCAGCAGTTCTGGAACTTTCCAGAAACAGAAATTCTTTACAGTATTAAAAATTGTAGAGGATTTTTCTTTTTGAGAGGCTTTTGCTATAGGGTACGTACACTCACCAGAAAGACAGAGACAGAGAGACAGAAAATGAGAAATCACCCCCCCCCCAGGATCCTGGGCACATATACACGTGTGCCTGGTGTGAGTTTAAGCCACCAGGTCCGGGACTCAAACCGTTGTCAATTACATGGGAGTCCAGCTACATAGCCATTACACCATCTGCTGGTCCCAAAAAATCATAGAGGAATTTAAAGAGAATGTGGTATTGCATTTTTATCTATGTGTATTTATTGTATTTGTAATGAAAAGAGAATTTTAGGATGTGGGGAAAGTCATGATGCATTTTGCATAAGGAAACATAGAAAAATAAGTTAAGACTTTCCTGATGACCCAATATTTTACAATAACACACTCATTACATATAACATATATGCTACATGTATGAAAAGGCTCTATTTGCCAAAACAACCCAAAATGTGATGTTAATTTTGTATTTGACAAATCTCATTAATATCTGACTTCCTAGAAGACAGTTTATTTATTTATTTTTTTTGAGAGAGATTTTTGCTGTAGAGTTTGTTTGCTGGCTGGAAAGATAGAGAGACAGAAAGCTAGAGATCACGCCCCAGGAGGGATGGCCATGCCGCAATCCCTTCTCTTCCATTCTCCCCTCAGGATCTTGGATATGCATGCACACACTTCTGGCATGAAGCTTAAGCCACAGGGTCTGGGACTCTAACCGCGGCCGACTACATGAAAAGCCAGCGATGTAACCATTCCGCCATCTGCTGGTCCCAAGACAGCTGTTTTTGTTGTTGTCGTTTTTTAATACCTACTCTGCTTTCATTCTCTTTCTTTTCCCTTGATGAAGCCTATGAAAAAAAATAAATAAATACTTCTGCAGATATAAATCAGAAAATGTCAAAGTAATTTAACTGTCTTTTCAGTTAATTATAGATAATCTTTGATATTGATCCCAAATTTGAGAAGGGGTAAATTCTTAGGAGTTGTGATGTGGAATGTGAAGCCAAATCATTGAATTTTCTGTACTTCATTACATTAAAATCTATTGGTTAATCTTGCATTTTGAATTTATCTTTCATACACTCATAATATGTAACATAAAGCACTGATCATTTGGAAAATACTGGTTCATTGGAAAACGTATATTTTCCAAATGTTGGCTTATTTAATTATACAACGTTTAAAAATATATATATTTCTAGACTCACCAGAAATATCTCTTAATGCTGGGAAGTAGTCATATTCATAAAAGTGAATGCATTTTTCAAATTTTTATTTCTCTTGGAAATGAATTTTATCATTGGGAGCAACTACTACAGGTTATTTTCCTGACAGTGACATTTTCTTCATTCATTTTTCAAAAGAATGTCTGTCAAACACTCCAGTATGAATTACTTGCCCGTCAGTGGCTATTTCATGCAAAAATACGCCTTATGAAATAGAAGGCACTACTTCAGTTCACGACTCAAATAACTGGATGCGTGAATTACTTTGAGACAACCATTCCAGTTCAGATTGTGGTCAAATATTTTATGCATACTTTTCATGTTAAACATTAAATTATGAGAATTAAAGTTTTGAGATTTAATAAAAGTTTATAATTCTTTCAGCTTGAACAAAGGGATTTTTAAGTGACCCCTCTTTCCCACCTGCACACATACCTCTCCATAACTGAATGGTGGGACAAATACAGTGACCGCTACTACATTTCGGTGCCACTGCTGTGGTTCTGCTAAGTTGCCAACAGTTTTACCCATCATCAATTGCTTTTGCATTAACAGTGAAATTCCTACCTAGTGAAGGAGGCAGAGAATGTTAGAGTAAGAATGTTTTAGTACTGCAAAAACCGGTTTGATCTGGTGGACTTCTTGATAGGGTCTTAGGGATTGTGGATCACCCACTGTGAACCACTGCATCCAAGGATGAACTACTATTTATGGTACAACTATTTGCCCCAAATTTTCTTTTCCCTTTTCTTTTATTGTCAGAGGGCATGTGTTCCCTAGAGAGAGAGAGGGCAAAAAAGAGAGAAAGCACCCCTCTGTATATGTGGTCTTACTGTAATCCTTCCCCCTCCATTTCTCCATCCCATTAGGATTTGGGGTAGAACACACAGCCGCTGGTGCTGGAATTCGAACCATGGTGGACCATGTGAGATTCAGCATCCCATACACAACGTTTAACCACTGTACTGGAGGGTGGGGTGGGTGGGTGGCTCCTACCAAAAACTTTCTTTGAGATACTTGTACATAGCATTTCTAATCATTGAATAAATTCAAAACTTGCCATTATGTCCTTCCCTAGGGTTGCTTTGTTGGCTTTGATCTAGCACATGCAGTTGGAAATGTTGAACTCCATTTACATGACTGGGGAGTGGATTTTGCCTGCTGGTGTTCCTACAAGGTACAGACAAGTAATAGGTTTGCATTCTTTAACTTCACATTGACATTAATCAAAAGGAAAATCTGGTTTCAAGGTTCAATTTTAAGCATTTAGGTTACTTTTCCCTTATTCTTTCATTATTTTTTTTTCTTTTTTTTTGGAGAGGTTTTTCACTTGTGCTCTCCAGAAAGAAAGAGAGAGACAGAGATAGAAAGTGAGAAATCACCCCCAGGTGGGATGGTCATGCTGCAATCCTTTCTCCTCCATTCTCCTCTTGGGATCCTGGGCACACACGCACACGTGCCCGGCGTGAGTTTAAGCCATCGGGTCCGGGACTCAAACCGCAGTTGGCTACCTGAGAGTTCAGCGACATAGCCATAACGCTAACTGCTGGTCCCTATTTTTTGATGTTAGCCAATTATCACATATGATCGACTACTACTATAAATAATATAATTCTAGTATTTCCTTCACAATAGAGAACTTCGATTCCTAGACTTCTATAAAAAACTCTGGAGATTCTGGAGAAAAAAAGCTCCACACGTAGAGTTTAATTCAAATTAATTAGATTTTTAAGTGTTTTATTGATAAGTTGTAAATTTTCAACATATGTAAAAGTAATTCTTAGAAAATCACCTTGGTATGGGTATTTTAAGACAATTTGATTTATAGGGAGCATGAATTTAAAAAGTAATTTTAATTTAAGCATTTATGAAATATATTTTTTGTTTCTATTTAAATAGGCTATGGTAAAATAACTTAAATATAGGAGCTTCAAAATCACACAGATTTTAGTGGAACTGCCATCTTCTAACTGGGGCAAAATTAAATTAGAAGAGTAATAGCTCCTTATTCTCAATTTCATTTGTTTTTCTTGGAAGAATGTCATGGCCGACTCTGCGATTCATGTCCTGGGCCTGGTCGCTTCAGAAGCATGCCAGGTAGTGCCAGCAGGTGGTGTAGTGGTTATGTTACTCGACTCCCACATGGCCAACCGTGGTTTACGTCCCAGACCAGGTGGCTTGAAAATCATGCTGGGAGCATGCGCGTGTGTGTCCAAGATCCCAGGAGCAGAACGAAGAGAAGCCACTGCGGCATGGACATCACCCGGAGGGATGACTTCTCACTTTCCCTCTGACCGTCTCTGTCTCTCAGGCGAGCACACGCACCCTAAGCCAAAAACTTCTTAAAAAAAAAAAAAAAGAAAGAAAAAGAGAAACATGCTGGGCATGTATGTGTGTGCATCTAAAATCCTGAGAGGAGAATGGAAGAGAAGGGTGTGGCCACCCCTCCTGCTAGGGATGAGGGTGATTTCTCACTTTCCCTCTTTCTGTCTCTCTCTGGCGAGTGCATGAACCTCATGGCAAAAATCTTGAAAAAAAAATTATTCCATGAAGAAGAAAAGTGAGAGAGTGAGACAGACACTGGTATCTTCGAAACGGCCTCATCTCACTGCAATTCCCCAGCCCAGCCTTTCAGCCAGTCAGGGCACACGCATGCTTGATGTGTCCAGGTCGACCTGGGATCCGAACCTCAAACCCTCCTCTAGTGTTCCAATACCGTGCAGGATTGCTCTACTGTGTACAACACCACAGAGTGCCTGTTGTTCTTTCTTTCCTTCTTTTCTTTTTTTTTAATAATAGGGGGTGGGTAATAAGGGGTAAGAGGGAGGGGGGTCAGGGAAAAAACAGCACGTTTAATAGGCACAAAATGGAAAAGTTATCTTCTGATGATAATGTATAGGGTAATGTCTTTGACTTGATTAATATGCACTGAATTCATGCTAAGAAGAAACTAGATTGTAAAGATATCAATGTAAATATATTTATATTTACATTTTAAACAGTCACGCATTTTAAACTGACAAAAGTTGAGGTTTTACCCCATAAAAATGAAATGATCACATTGTTCATCTTTTTTATATAGACAGGTAAACCCATACAGTCTAATTATTTTCTATCCAGTATTTAAATGCAGGGGCAGGAGGTCTTGCTGGTGCCTTTGTCCATGAGAAACATGCCCATACAATTAAACCTGCGTGAGTATCAACTTCGGATTAATAATACGTTAAATTTGCATACATTGTTAAAGATGTTGTCCAATAGGAATCTAGATTGAAATATAATGATTTATTACGGTTAACTATGGCATGCATTATACAAACAAATGCTTTCCAAAGAGCTCGATTGGTTGAACAAGAAATTCAATCAGAAAAGGGAAGATTCACTGATAAAAATGGGTCACTGCAATCACATAGAGCAGATGGTTTAATGTAAAGAGACCACTTGAAGTTTTTTCCAAAAATTAGACTGTAAAAAATTTTAGATTTCTCACAATGATGAATAAATCAAAGAGAACCAGAGCCGTGCCTAATAGAGCCGTAAATGTGGCAAGTTATTATTAAAATTACACCTACCTCCAAAGCTATAAAGGTACATGATGGCTGGTAGGAGATACCTTCTGCCCTGAAAGACTTTATAATCCATGAAACCTAAAGAAGCTGAACACTGAACAACAGACTGACGACATAAAAGGCAATACTTCTCTATTTTATGTGTCTCTCCACTTTTAGAGCAAGTATAAATGCAAATGTAATACACCAACAAATTTATACATTTTTATTTGACTAGGGAACATGTAAGTGTTTTTATCTCATATGGAGATAAAGAAATAATATTCTAGGAAGAAAAAAACCCTTTTCATCGTTGTTGTATTAGAGTATGTGTGATGAGCAGACTGTCTAGACTCCTAATAGATAATATAATAATGTTTGATTAGTTTTCTGAATTTTCTCAGACACTGGCTGAGTGGTATAATCTTTACAAGAATTGAAGCTGAATTAGTAATAGAGCTTGAAGCACATCACATTTCTAAGTTCTATGCATATAAAACCTAGGAATTTAAAATGATTTTCTCTAGTGTATTTAATTGTGTCTAAAATTTCTTCAAGACTTTAAGGTTTTAAAAATAAAGAGCATTTTCTTTAGACAGGTAGATATGATCCTCAAGTATATTGTTGTCTGTGCATTTGATTTCTTTCCATATCCTAAACCCTCCAAGAAGAATATAAAGCATATAGAGTATTATATAATTTCATGCATATTTAAAAACTCTTCTCTTTCATTTTTACCAAATTCCATTGATAACTTTTTACTGGCTTAAACGTTTTCCACAAAGACAGTATACAAGATATACTTTTGCTTTCGTGTGATAACTGCCCCGGCCATTTCTCATTCTCCATTCACTTGAATTGTAACAGGAGATCTGATATATAATATCAGCCCAAGGGCAAATTATAGGACAGACAGTAGGGGTAATCTACACACATTCTAGAGAAGGCCCACTAGGAGTTGACCTCTGACCTTTCAGTATAGGCTTAGCACTTGAGATTTCTCTCACCCTTAATGGATAAGAAACAGGAGAGGGCTAAGGCATGGTAGCGTGCTCACGTGTTCCCCATTCTGCGAAATCCCCAAGTCTCCCAGACATGGTTTACATAGGTAAGTCTACTCTCAGAAGAAAGACCATCTAGGCAAGCCAGGTTCTCATTCCAGCGTGGTCACTTGCTGGACTGTCCCCTGATGAATGTACCTTGACTTTACATTGTCCTGGCTTCTGAATGCAGAAAACGTCAGCCTCTACCTAATAGACAATTATTAATGAGAATAAAATGAGATGATGCACGTGAAATTCCAAGTGTAGCCACTTAAGCAATGTATGTGATCAATACCTGTGAGCTATATAGAGAAACATTATTTAAAATTTTAGCAATAAAGAAAAAGAATATGGTATTTAAAATATGTCCTTGGTGAAGAGGAGGGTTGCAGGCAGTGGTGGGGCAGTAACACAACCATACTCACATGAGAAAGGTCCTGGGTTTGCATCCTGGTGCCTCCCTAAGCATCCAGAGTACATACATGTGCCCATGATCTGGTTTGACTGAGACTGGGGTGGATGGTGGAGTAATGAACCTGTTGAAAGTACCTCTCTCTTTCTCAGTCTCTGTCTTTCTGTCTTATCTGTATACAGAAAAATAAATTAATACACTAAAAAATTACAACAACAAACAAAAGCCACATGCCATTGGAGCATTCTTTTATAGCTTTACCCAAATTATTTGGTAATTATTTAGTTGTGGGAAAAGTCATGGCATCCTTTACTCTGCAAACATGTGTCATGACTTTTCCAATGACCCAATATTTAGTACCTACCTCGAAGTACCTGTTGACTCATCGTAAATTTGCATGTTAATAGGTAAACTTTTGCCCAGTGAAGATCATTTCTTTTAAGCAGGAAAGTTACTCCCCAAGGATATGGTCTATGAATGTTTAGGCCATTAAATAACTTTGTATCTATCACCAAGTTCATTCAGCATACCCTTAACAGACTGGCTATGTTTCTATTCTTTGAATTGTCTCTTGCAGTAGCCTTACTATTTTACTGGTTCTCCAGGAATTAGTGATTTGAATATTATCCTTTATTTTTGCTCATTTCCTGTTCATAGAATACTATGTTTTTAATTTGTTTTGAAAGTTATAAGTCATTAACTACATTGTCTTTTTACTAGCTTTGGAGACTGGCAGAAGTCAAGTCAGGCTTGACCCATGAAGGCCACCGTATAGGAAACCTTGCTATTCTATTTGCTGTTCATTGGTTTTCTATACTCTGAAAAGTTCTTGTTATTCAGTGTCAGAGTGGCTAATTCCAGTACTGCCAACTTCGAGCCTTTACTCTGTTCTGTAACAAGTATCATGTATTACATTTAATTTGTCCTGGGAATTGGAGTTCTTTAAGAGCAGATGCAGATGCTAAGATTTGTAGAAGACAAAGATAAGATTTTTTTCCACATAATCTGTTTGGCGTCCTTGATAGAAAAAGGAATGCTTTTGCATAACTGAGATCATGTTCCTTACTTCTCGATGTCTCTACACAGGGAACACCTCCTGCAGGTCTACACAGGGAACACCTCCTGCAGGTCTACACAGGGAACACCTCCTGCAGGAAGAGTGGTAAACAATGAGGGCATGAAAGGCTAAATATCACTCTGTCTGAATAAGGAGAATTGCATAGAAATTAAAATGATGTGCAATAAACAAATAATTTTTGGAAGATAGGGGAAGGAAGTTTTTTGTGAATATTTCTAGTATAAAGGTCAAATCTAATGTAAAGTTCAAAATTCCTAGCGTGAGTACTGACTTTACTGCCAATTAGTAATTATACTTCAGTTGCTAGGCTCCAGCATCAGCTGCTTTAATTGTGCCTAATAAACCTCTGTCACCTACGGTTTTTAGTTTTCTTTGAACTCTAGAGACTACAGAGTTTTTTTTGCTGGGAAGGTATTTAGTATGTGGCTGAGAACCATATGGAGAACATCAGATTCAATAGAGTGAAGGTAACTACTATCGATGTAGCATGCTGGTGAAACAGTCTTTGTTGCTTAAGAAAGGGTGACATCTAGTGGCTAACCATATTATTTCAAATAAGTAATAGCCAAATAACTTTTCTTTTCCTGTTATTCAGTCTTTAGCACATATTAAGAGTATGCATACTTAACTGATTCCCCCCCCATCTTGAATACCTATTTTAGCATAATAATTGTGTAATTAGCGCATTCCCCAAAGAAGTGGGACAGGATGAACATAGGAGTAAAGGTGAGGGGGTATTTATATGATTAAATAGAATGCTCAACCTGTACATCAAGGCTGGGATAAGAAAGGTCTTATGGAAACGGGAGGCCCACCTAGGGCAGAGAGTGATCCCAGAATATATCACACTGTGTTCTAGAAGTTTTGTATTTGTTATAGAAATTTGAAACAAACTTGTATGTGATGCTTCCATTAGCAACTAGTAAATTACATCTGCATCAAGAAATTTTATTTCCTTTTTATTTTTTTAAATAGGCATTTTGGCCATTGTTCAAAGCTGATGACCTAAGACTTCCCATGAGCCCTTTGCCCATAAAGACAATGAGTAAATGAGAGGCCAGGCCATCCATTGCATTAAACATCATAATTCAAGTTGTTATTCTTAACTAGAATTTTAACCTTTTCCTAGTTCATCATCATCTTTTCTCATTGCGGTGTCATTCATATTCCAAACCTTATTTGTTGTTAAGAATTATGACAAAGTAGGACTGGTTAGGAATAAATGACTTCTTCCCTCCCACCCCACCTCTAGGGCAGAGTTCTGAGATATGAAGAGAGAGAGATTTTTGCTATATGGCACATGTGCTTGCTGGAGAGACAAGAGAGACAGAAACCAAGTTCCTTTTTATTTTTTTAAATAGGCATTTTGGCCATTGTTCAAAGCTGATGACCTAAGACTTCCCATGAGCCCTTTGCCCATAAAGACAATGAGTAAATGAGAGGCCAGGCCATCCATTGCATTAAACATCATAATTCAAGTTGTTATTCTTAACTAGAATTTTAACCTTTTCCTAGTTCATCATCATCTTTTCTCATTGCAGTGTCATTCATATTCCAAACCTTATTTGTTAAGAATTATGACAAAGTAGGACTGGTTAGGAATAAATGACTTCTTCCCTCCCACCCCACCTCTAGGGCAGAGTTCTGAGATATGAAGAGAGAGAGATTTTTGCTATATGGCACATGTGCTTGCTGGAGAGACAAGAGAGACAGAAACTAAGAAACTTACTCATAAGAGTTTGACAACCAGTAAATTACCACTAAAAAATGGTTAACATAAAAAAAAGTTCAAGGGACCAGCAGTTAGCGTAATGGCTATGTCACTGGACTCCCACGTAGTCGACCGCAGTTCGAGTCCCGGACCCGGTGGCTTAAACTCACGCCGGGCGCGTGTGCATGCGTGCCCAAGATCCCGAGAGGAGAATGGAGGAGAAGGGATTGCGGCGTGGCCATCCCCCCTGGGGGGTGATTTCCTGTTTTCTATCTCTCTGTCTCTCTCTGTCTGTCTGGCGAGCGCACGCGTCCTATAGCAAAAAACCTCTCACCAAAAAAAAAAAAAAAAAAAAAAGTTCAAATGTCAACCATTTTGGTTCATTTTAAATAAATATTTAAC